ATTTATTTTACAAGAAAACATGTTCAAAAACAAAGTTAAAGTAAAAAAAAAAAAAAAAGTTAAAGTTAAAAAAAAATTAAAAAAAAGTTAAACTAAAAAAAGTTAAAGTAAAAAAAAAAAGTTAAAGTAAAAAAAAGTTAAAGTAAAAAAAAAGTTAGCCTTAAAATTACAAAAATAAAAAAGTTTAAAAATTACAAAAAAGTGTTTAAACAAAAGTCCAAGTTGGATGACTTTGCAGCCTTCTACTTTTCGTTGCCTGGTGAAGTCAGCCTGTGACAGCAGAGCTGGGCCAACACGTGGACCTAAGACAAAAATGAGATTGGTGAGTCTCAAGTCCACTTCTTGTGCAGCAAATGCAATTTGAAATGTGATCAAACTAACCAGCACAGAAGTTGTCTGGGACTCTGAACAAGTGCTCGCACGGCCACATCACGCTCAGCTCCTGCGCAACAAACAATATGGGGTCAAAGAAGGGATTGAAAAAACTGTCAAGCATTCAAAACTTACTGCCCATTGTATAACCTCTTCTAGCTGAATGCATCAAGCCAAGAGTTGGACGACAGTCGCCGCCTGGTGAAGTGGACAGAGGAAAAAGGATTACAGCGCATTTCTGGTACAGCAAATTTTAGACAAGAACAAACCCACCAGTGAGGAAGAGGACCTGGGACTTGTTGGGCAGTCATCGGACCTTTAAGAAAAACCTCCCAGCTGCAGCGCTTGCGCATGTATGCACCAGTGCAATTTTTCTTGTTGGCAGGCTGCTCCAAAGTTGGCTTCAGACCCTTCTGGACGTCGTTCTCCAGCTGACCAAACAGAAGCAGAGTAAGCGGTCAAAAATGGATGATGCATCACCAAGGTTTTGTTGACATGACCATTTATTTCACTTGCAGGTTCCTTGTCAAGTTGCAGACCGCAAGGAAGGAGAGGAACCAGGGTGCACTTCAGCCCACCTAATCCAGGAAGACCCTTTCCCCAGGCAGCGTGACGTCACTTCTGGAAAACAGCAAGACACCAATCAAAACATTCACCCAGCGTGGTTTTGATGGAAACCGTTTGAGATGAAACCCACCGCCACGAGCGCTGAATTCTCCCAAAGTTTGCCAATGTCTGTTATGTGGTCCTCCGGCTGAGGAAGAGAAAGTTGATGACGTTTGGTTTCACAGGCTAGCATGTAGTGGACCAATGTCTGAATGACCATCTGAAGAAAGGGGAGAAGAGAAAAAAAAAATTCAGTTGACTGTCGGTTGGAATCTTCTGGAGCAGCCGCTGGATGACAAACAGTTGCCAGTTCTGCAAAGAGACGAAATGAGCAGAGTCTCATACAAATCCTCAAAAAAAAACAACCAAGCGCTTCCTTGCGAGAAGGCCTCACGTTGACGTCATGGTGGGGGCCAACTTGGATTTCTGGAGGGAAACAAGGTAAGAAATCCTTCAGGCCTTCAATGGGAAATTTGTAGTCAAACTCTTTGTTTTTCAAGTCTGACCTTTTTCCCCCCCATCCTGTGACAGAGCGAAGGTGATGTCCAACCACTTCTGAGGGCCTCAAAGTGGACAAGCCTGAACACAAACAGGAGGTCGGTAAGGAAGCTTTTAATTCAGTTTCAGTTGAAAGTGGGTCAACTTGAAAGATTTAAGCTGCAATTTCGAAACTTTGCCCAGCAGGTGCAGCGTCTTGGTGACCAGGGTGCGGAGTCCACGATGGCACCAACTGGAAGCTTCTCTGCACAGTCAAAATGGGAAAAAAAAAAAACAAAAAAAAAACAAAAAAACACTTGTTTGCATCTTGGCTCATCTCA